GTAAAGTCAGAGACGATAGCTCATCTGCTGCTGCACAGTTTGTGTTGGTTGTCCTCTAGTCCTTCATTGGCGGACTATTTTCAGTCCAGCAGTGACATTGAGATGTTTAAAAACCCCAGCAGCTCTGCTGCGTCTGATCCACTCGTAACAGCGCAACACACACTAACACACCACCATCACCTCCACTCTTGCTTCAGATCTGAAAAAAATCCATCCTTCCACTGTGAGAAGATAACTCAACACTGTAAATCTGAAAGGATGTGTAGCTGTCAAGAAGCCCTCACTGAGAAAAGGAAACAGAAAAATGAGAAGAAAATTTGAAAATCAAACAGTGAAGCTGCTGGTGAGACACAGAAAATTACAGCCAACTTGTAGGACCGAACTTTAAAGGAGTGGAAAAATATCCCTGCAGATTTCTTAGGAAAACTGAAAGCAATTCTCCAAAAACAATGGAAGCTAGGATGTTGTTGATGATTCTGTGTGATTTTCTGGTAATTGTAATTTTTCTGCTTTTCTCCTGATGCTGAATAAAACGAAAAGTGAATAGTTTGTACTTAACGGCCATGTGACTTTTACACAGTACTGTATATGGTAAGTGGTCCTGATAAAATGGACAATGAGTGTAGATACAGAATACAACAAAAGTGAGTACATGCCTGTTCAATATCATTGAAATGTTTGGTAAATTATATTATTTTATTATTTCAAACCTCATTTTTTTGCAGTTAAAGAACGTAATGATTAAAGGAAATTCATTTAAAAAGAACAGAACTATTTGACTGGTTAAACCGCAATGAAAGGTTCATACATTTTGAAGGGCCGCAACAAAAGTTAGTACACCCTTCACTAGAGGGATTTCAATTTTTTTTTCTAATATTTTGTACATCCACCTTTGTTTTTCAAGCCTTTTTGGCATGAATGATACCAATGCAGCACAATTCTGTGGAGAGATATTCTGCTCTTCACAGATGACTCTTTTCAGCTCTTCTTTGCTAGAGGGGATGTGCTCCTCTGCTTTCCACTTTGAGATTACCCAAAGGTTTTCTATAGGATTTAGGTCAGTTGAAATACTTGGGTAGACGGTCGTTGCCATCTATATAAGTCACCTCTCCTAACCCTGCTAAACTCATACAGCCCCATATTAACACACTACCTCCACCATGTTTCACACTTGGCACTGTGCAGTCACTATAGTCTTGACCAGGTATATGCCAAACATGCTGAGCGACAGTTTGATCCAAACAACTTCATCTTAGCTTCATCTGGCTTCTTTTCATGTTCTTTTCCAAACCTTAGTCTTGCGGTTTTGTGCTGATTTGTTAGTAACAGTGTTCTTCTTGGATACTATCCGTAGAGGTCAAGTTCATGCAATGACTGGCACACTGTCTGGGCACTCACTGAGAGGCCAGTTTCTAAAGATAAATCTGGAATCACTGGTCCATCTGTTTTTCAGTGCAAGATTGCGTAAATAGCCGGCTGTGTGGTTTGCCACCTTTCGAGGACGACTATTACTGGTAGCGTGGCTCCCCTGATACTTCCTTATAACTGCTGCAGCTGAGTTTCAGCTTATGTTTAGTAGTTTACCAATGTTCTTGTACTCTTTTCCATCTTTATGAAGTTTTACTGTCTGGTTTATCACTTAATTGACAAGTCCTTGCCATGATGGATTATACACGGCCTATAAGAGACCAAAACAAACAGTGAACGTGAATAGTTTGATCAAAGGATGCCACAGGGCTTAAATAATTAGCTTTAATTAGAAGAAAATTGCATCATAGGTGTACTGACTTTTGCTGACCTGGCTTTTTACAATAGACTCTGTGATTTCAATATAGCCTAATAGGTCTAATCTGATTATTTTTTGTTAAACATAAGAGCAGGTGACCCATTGTTTGAATTACAAAGTATGTGGCCATTTCAATAAAATACTATTTTAAGTCATTCGACATTTTAGTGATATTGAATTCACATATGCTGTATACAGTACATGGTAACGGTAGGAACCATATATGTGCCTAATAATGTGGTCACTGAGTACATATATGAACAGTGTGTGTCTATCTAAGGTCCATTTTCTAGTGGAGCCACTTGGGACTGAGCCTCCAGCTCTCAGTCAGTAGCCTTTAGAGTGCCCAATGAACTTCCACCCACTAGTTTGCCCCAACCTTCAAGCTCAGCTGCCCTCAGGCTTCAAAACACACACACACACACACACACACACACACACACACACACACACACACGAAACATACACATATGCACACACAAACGCATGCACATTTTTTTCTCCTGGGGACCAGCCAAATGTCCAATGTTCTTTCTGTTTTCCATCATTCTGTGGACACTTGGTCCCCACAAAGAGCTAAACATCTCTCGCTCTCTCACTGTCTCACAAACAAACCAACAGTCTGCATTTGTGTATTTCTGTAAAGCAAACAGATAAATCAATGAAGACTGTCATGATTACTTAATTAAGAAAATTAATAAAGTAAAATTCATTCTCGATGAGCTGGCTTAGTAATTGTTGTTTAACTGGGTCAAGGCTGAACAGCTATTAACAGGCTCCTCCAGTAATATTTAGCTAGGCTTTAAAGGAGGCTTCACTGTAAAACTGCAACATACAAAGTAAAGAATACGCCACTTGAATCTCTGTTACAAGCTACAAATACTTAAAATGAACTGTGATTAGGCGAAGATGGGAGGTGAACACCACTATTAACTCAGGCATAACAAACCATAGAAGTGATTGTTGATAATTTGTAATATTGTAGCGATGCTACTCAGACATTTATAAAGTGAAGATTTCTACAGTGTAATGATATGTGTGGCTGTGACAAGTTCATGAAATGACCCTTATACTTTTTTCAAACCCTAAATAGAAAGCATGTATGTACAGTGTATTAATCAAATACATTTGAAAATATGTGGAAATGGCAAAAAAATGTTTTTAGAGAATGGCATTAAAAAAAGATTTAAGATGCATTAAATACAATTTATTTAATTTGCTTTTTCATTTCACTTTTTGGCTTTTTAATAGCTGTGACTTAACTATCTCATTCCCAAGCTTTACTAAGCCACTGCAGTGATCTAACTATCTCGGTCAGTTTGCTGATATCTGCTGGTACTCTGTTATTGCATATTTTAAATTCTCTTAGTGGTCTCACTTCCAGTAAGAGACATTTTTTGCTACTTAATACATATAGACTCCCGTTCCCACAGTTTACTAAATTTTGCCCTCATATTAAGACTCTGTTCCCTCTCCATGTCTTACTAAGTCCTGGCCACAACTTAATTATGACAATTATCTCATTCCAAGCTTTACGAAACTGTGGCTGTGACTTAACTATCTCATTTGTAACCTTTACTAAGTTGTAGCCATGACTTAACTATCTCACTCCCATGCTTTAATAAGTTGTGGCTGTGACTTAACTAGCTTGATCCTAAGCTTTACTAAGTTGTGGCCATGACTTAACTGTCTCGCTCCCAAGCTTAACTAAGTTGTGGCCATGACTTAACTAGCTTGATCCCAAGCTTTACTAAGTTGTGGCCATGACTTAACTATCTCATTCCTAACCTTTACTAAGTTGTGGCCATGACTTAACTATCTCATTCCTAACCTTTACTTAGTTGTGGCTGTGACTTAACTATCTCATTCCTAATCTTCATTAAATTGTGGACATAATTTAACTGTCTCACTCCCAAGCTTTACTAAGTTGTGGCCGTGACTTAACTATCTTGATCCCAAACTTTAATAAGTTGCCACTGAGATTTAACTATCTCAATCCTGAGCTTGAATATGTTGTGGCCATGACTTAACTATCTTGATCCCAAGCTTTTTATTAAGTTGTGGCCATGACTTAACTATCTCATTCCAAAGCTTTAGTAAGTCATGGCTTTGACTTTCCTATCTCGTTCCCAAGCTTTACTAAGTTTTAGCTGCGACTTAACTCGACTTAATCTTAAGTTAACCATCATGTTGTGGCCACACATTAGGATTTTGTTTCTATTCATTTCCTTATTTAGTCATGGCTACAACTTAACTGTCACAATTAATACTCGTTACAAAGCCTTACTAATTACTAAGGCCACACATTTATTGTATGTTACTGTTCAGGTCATTTTTATTGTGTAACTTATGGAAAATTAAATGAACAAAATGAAAAAAAAAATTCCTGACAAAAAATCCTGCTAAGACCAACTTTTGCTCGGAGCTCATTTGAGATCTAAGTTGGTCTTTGATGGTCTAGGTCAGGGGTCACCAACCCTTTTCATGGAGACCTACCTTAGTAATTAGACGAATAAGGTGGGGATGATCAGGGTTGAAGCTCCACAGGAAGGTAAATCTCCAGGAACAGGGTTGATGACCACTCTCCAGGTGGTAGACAAGCTGGAAATCCAGCTAGACTAAATGAAAACATACTCTGTGCTGGTCAACAGATAAACTTAGCTGTTTGGATATATTTTCAAATGAGTTTGAGTTTAGCTGGTCTGGCTGTGTGACAAACTTGACCAAGCTTCACAATAGTGGTCAGCCGACTTGATCAAGCTGGTCATGCTGGTCAACCAGAATCCTTGTGTTGATCGACCAACTTGGTCAGGCTGGGAAACCATAACCATTCCATAACATACCATTACTGATATAATGGACGGTGACATTTGTATTTTGAGGAACAGCCAAATATCCCCACTGTATCATATATTCAGTGTGTTTACGTGGTTTTATACCGTGTTTTCTCATTGATATTCGGTCCTTCGACCCGTTGTTGACATTCCTTCTTCAAAAAAGTGCGAGACTGTGACTTAACTATCACAAATGAACTATCTCGTTCCCACACTTTACTAAGTGATGGCCTCACATTACACTGAACAAAGACAGACGCGCGCGCGCAGCTCCGAGCAGAGCGCTCACGGAGATTGTTGAGTGTGACGCCGCGTGAGCAGCTCGAGGCGCGTTCAGATCGCTGTCAGTTCAGCGCGAGACCAACACACGCGCACACACACACACACACACACACACACACACACACACTCACTCACTCACACAGACCGAGAGAGAGACGGAGCATCCAGACAGGCTGGTTTTCTCTCGCGGCGGCTGTGTCTCTCCGGGTAAGTCCACCTTTTTTAATAATACTCTTTTAGCAGGCTGCTAACTCCGTCCTCTCACTTCTGTTTCCCGCCTAAATCACAAGAGGCTCAAGTCATTTGCTTATTCGCCAGCTTTGCGTTCGAATTTTCCCGTTCCACCTTAAATGAGTCGCCAAACCGTAACTGCTGCACCATTTAAGGTGGAACGGAAGAATTCGAACGAGAAGCTGTCGAATAGGAAGCTTCGAGTCTAAATCACAGCGAGGCCAACACGGCTGGCCGTCTGAGGGGAAAACAGAGGGACTGAACACGTTTTTTTTCTCTCACAAACTGTTAAAATCTCTTAAAAAATTCGCAGTGCTTCGTTTTATGGAGACTTGAGAGCGCACAGTGAAGCTCTCAGTCAACAAACAAACACACTTTCTGTGAGGAATAGCGGCTCTTCGTGTTTCTGAAAGAGTGGAAATGTCCTCATATCGGAGAAGGAGAACTGGGTGAGGAGGTTATGGAGTTGTGGAGAGGGAAGCGGTGGCCGTACTTTGCCCTGCTGCTGATGAGCGCTCACCTCCTCAAGTTTTACAGCGAGTCTCTGGAGGAGAAACAGCCGCCTGCGCGCGCGGTTAATGTTCACTTGGGCTGTTTTTCTCTCCGGGATGATGATGATGATGATGATGTGATGATGAAGTGCTTCCTCTGAGCTCTGACTGCCGAGTGAACACGACAGAGACCGTTTCACATTTTACCACGCGTTCAGATGAGACTCCCCAGTGCTGGAACAACACCTGCAGTGCTGAGTTAACTGCCAGTTCAGTGAACATCTACTGAGTTTAATTTCCAGCCAGTGTTGAGTCAACATCTGCTGAACTGAATTAGCAGCTACAGTGTTAAGTGAGCACAGACTGAGTTAAACTGTTAGAAATAAAGGTTCTGTGCGGATACGTTTTGTGTTCTTTAAGGTACAAACAGTATAAATGTGCCCCTTAAATGTATAACAGTGGTTTTAAGGTCCAGTTGTGTATCTTAAATAAGTTTTTCCCAGTGAAAAGTCCATATTTGTACCTTTTCATGGCCTAATGTTTCAAAACAGAACAATCAGACAAGATGAGGGGGTGTGTGTGGAGCCAGTACAACTTAGAAAATATAATTGCAATGGATTATGGTACAGTTACGTTCCCGGACCAAAGGTATGGAGATGTACCCTTGAAAGTACCAACCCAGTGACAAGAGAGGTACTGCCCCAGTGACAGTCTCATACCTTTTTTCTGAGAGTGTAGAGCCATTTTCAAAAAAGGTGCTATATAGAAACATATATAACACATTCTCCATCAACCTGAAGAGCAGTTTCACCATGAAAAGAACCATTTAAGCATGAAATGGTTCTACGTAGAATTCATGGTTCTAAATACAACCATTCCCTTAACTAAAGACCCCTTGAAGTACCACCTTTTTTAAGAGTGAAGTGTCGAATGAACTCTTACAGACTTAAATTAACAGTTGAATTAAAGAGGAATTCTGAGGAAAGATGTAAACAAAGTCATTTGGGGTGGTTTGGTGTGAAATTGCTTACTTACTGAGCTTACTGAGTCAGAGTTGTCCACAGTGGTGGTGATAGGAACCAGACGTCCAAAGTGTTTAACTGCACTGAAAGCTACCTTACAGAAATTTATTAGTTTGAGGTAATGTGATGTAAGTAGGATGTAAGTGAATTATCTACTATTGTCATGACGACAATAGTAGATGATTCACGCAAGCTGGGCCTACACTACACAATTTTATACCAAATTTTAAGGCCGATTTACCCCTTGTGACAAATTTTCACAATATGAGGCAGTTTTCCAGATCAGGAGCTCAATCAGAAGCGACTGATGGTGTGGATGATCTGGTAGTGTGAGCGGAGAAACGAGTGAATCTTTAGCCCTCAGATTAAGCTCTGAAGTGATCGGAGGCCCACCGATATTATCAGACGTTTGATATTTACGACTTAAAACGTTCACGAGTCCTGCAGTGTGAAAAGGTCAGAGATTTACTCAACGAGTGATTCAAACAACAGCCAAACAGAGAGCTAGAAGAGCAGAGAAAAAGGCGAAGAGATGCGCATGAACACCGCCTGAACAGCAGAGCGCGGAGACAGAGGAGCTGCGTGTAAAACACAGGCTGTTATGTTTATGATGTACTGATCCATTCGTCAGTGCATTTTCTTTACAATTTCAGCTCAGCTGCCAGTTTGTAGTGAAATGTTTCTCCAGCTCTCGCTGTGAAATCAACATTTCTCAGCCCCATATTAATCCGCACTTTTCGTTTTCGTTATGTGTAAAAGCACAAACAGGTCCGATCTAGTAAGTTTAGCTTTGTTGGTGTCATGTGATCTCTGAGGACGTCTGGAAGTTTGAGTTCTTATTCGTAGCCCAAACCCGCTGTGTGGGTTATACTCTCTCTTTGCCCTGTCATCTCGTGTGAGGGCCCTCACAACAAAAAGACGACAATAAATTCTGTGACAAACTGACGTTAAGTTTGTGATGCTCTTCATTTTAGAAACCTGTTAAGATTTTAAAAGTCATGTAGATTTTAAAAGTCGTCCAGCCTTACATCCTGACTGAGTTCTCTTTGAATATTCTTTCAGCCTGCTCACATTCATCTGCATGGGGAAGGGGTCCAAATCTCCAAATCCCCAAATCTTACAAGCAGTAACATTTATCTTCAGCAGTATAATGTTAAGGTTGTATTTGAGACCTAAACGTCAAGCTGGACCTTCTTTTTGAGCCTGTGCTTGTGACATTAACACATAAAGATTTATGACGAAGTCCGAAAAACCCCCTTAAAATATGACCCGACAACTCAGACTTCTTTATTTCTGGCTTTACAGAGCAACTCGGAACAGTGCACGCACACCATATTTTAGCATATTACCTTACGTAGTGCTGCTTTAACACACACCAAAACACTCTGAATGACTTTGATCTTAGCAATTGAATTATGCAGTAGGCCTGGGCGATATCTAAAAATAATTGGCACGGTATTTTCTAGTAAAAAAATTGCGATTAGTGATAATATCAGAGCTTTAAAAGGCTGCCTTATCACTCAATGTTTTAAGAGTAAAAGAGCATGGATTATGTGTATGTTTTGTTAAATATTATTTATTACATTTTTTTGTAAGAACAACGGCTGTAGACGGGGAGCAGAGGAACTTTCTCTCCAGGTTAGAGTTAACTTAGCTGCTCTACGCTACCATCCAGTCATTTTAGCATTTTTTTACTGCAGTAAGTCACTTTGAAGCGAGCTGAAAATCCAAAACGTCAACATTCATTTTTGATTCCATTCACTTAAAGTAAATTAAGGGGAATCTGTGCGGTAAAGCCAGCATTACAGTGCTTAGTGTAGAGAAATAACAGGCAGTTTCTTTTCCCCCCCAGTCTCTCTTTCTCTCTCTGTGTGAGAAACTGACTACTGGTATGCAAGCACACATCTTAAACGTGAACCCAAGTTTCCCAAGCTGTTTAATGGTAAATTAGTCCTCCCTAATTCTTTCTCAGTTCTTTTACCAAAACGGCAATTATGAACTTTTACACATTGCTATCAGGTTATCTGTTACATCACCCTGTCAGCCAAACCTATTATGCAGATATTTTGAAAAAACTGTGTAATTACCATGTAATTCACCCACAGTGATGAGTACAGTGTTTAATGAGCTCTTACAGTGTTGAATTGAACCCTGCGTTCTTTAATGAGCTCTTATAGGGTTGAATTAAGCCCTGTAGTATTTAATGAGCTCTCACAGTGTTGCATTAAATCCTCCACTCTTTGATTAACTCTTATTGTGTTGAATTAAAACCTACGGGGCCAGTCTGAGGCTCAGATTAAGCTAAAACCTACACAACATATCATTGTTAATGGTGACACATCATTACCTTTGTTTTTAGTCCAAGATTTAGGTTTAATCCACGTTCACGAAACCAACCCACAGTGTTTAAGGCCTACAGTGTTGAACGCCCTTGAATTATCTATAGTTTACAGTTTATAATTCCAGCTGGACAAATATGATCAGCGTAAGAATTAATTCTCAACCCTGTAGTTATTCGTTCAACACTGAATGTGTTAATTCAACACTGCAGATGTTCATTACACACTAGGGGCCAGTTTCCCAGAAATGGATTAAGCCTAATTTTGGACTAAATTGTGGTGTCAGTTGTGAATCACAATTGGAAATTATTTTCAGTCCAAGAGTGTCTGAGAAAACTGGCTCATAATGGACTAATTCAATAGTGTAAGAGTTTTTTTTTAACATTGTAAGTTAAAACAGTATTAGATGAACATTGAGTTCACCTGATACTGTAGATGTTCATTTCAGACTTGGTGTTAATTCAGTTCTGTAGATGTTTGATGTGAAATCATGTATTATAGAGAAGCTTACAAGGTGACCAGTGAGCCTACACACCTTCTACATTTTCAAATGTAGTGTCAATAATTGATCAAATAGATGTAAATCCAAAAAGTGAGTTTATTTTGGTATTGTTTTGCCTTACAACGCCCAGCAAATACAATTTAGGCCAAACCTTATCTCAGAACTATCATAAAACAATGTCTCGGGCATCAGTTCAGTTCAGGCGCATCCGTAAACATTTCATAATGACTTTCTGTGAGGGAGCTTTTAGAGGCATTAAACTCTTAAGATGTTTGGTTCCTGTCACCACCACTGTGAACAATTCTGACCCCATACGTTGTAAAATGGAGCTTTTCACATCAAATCGCTCTGAATGACTTTGTTTACATCGTAATGGTTAAGTCCGTAGATATAAACCTAACATTGTAGGAGTTAGCTTAATTCAACACCAGTGTAATTCAATAATATGGGTGTTGGTGTTTGTTCCACACTGTTAGAGATCAGTCAGTCTACCTTTTATTATAGCATGGTTTATGTTTTATCACCAAAAGCACTTCACCAAATGTCATTTGTAATGTTAACTCTCTCTTTTGGTTATTTAGTTAAAGGACGCCTTGTAAGCGGACGCTTGCTGATATAGCAG